GCTTAGTAATAATCTTAAAGTAATAGATGTGAGCAAAAAGTCTAGTAAAAAGAAGTTAATGATTTGGATAAGAAGTATTAGTATGATTCCGACTTGCTGGTTGCCTGGCTGTCTTCTATTGTGTCTGCTATTTTTGGTTTTCTTTTTAAGCTTTTGTTTTAAGTTTTTTTTGTATATAATAAGTTTGCGTATACTGGACTGCGTACAAGTAACTTATTTACCTCTGCAGAGTTACAATTAATTAACATGTAATTGACTTTATGGTATTAAATAATTAAATAAATTAAAATTTTCGTCTCCATCTGAATATTTTGTGTAGTTTTTAGTTTACTTTCCCAAGCAGAAAATGGATAACCCTGTCGAATAGTGTTCAGGAAGATTATTAAATTTTGTGCAATTTATCTAACTTTCCAATCCCAAACAAAGCCTTGGTAAACAGCAAACTTTTTTAATTTCCTTGCGGAAAATCTTGATCTACTTTCGCACAACATGTATCTATCACCTACCAGTTCCATAAACAACTATCCCCATAGTTCAATTACACCAATATATGCACTATCAATGACTAAACGTATTATAGAATTACTGCAATCGTGCCAGGACCTTGTCGAGTTAAATTGGTTTCTTATGAACTTTTTTAGGGTCACACAAACAATGTGCTTAACGAGTCGTATTCTGTTGTCATAATCATGAATGAATGTCCTGCTCATAATTTGACGAATCTCACGTGAGATTTTTGCAGCACAACACAAGGCTAAATTCTAATTTTCATGTCGTCAATGTTAGGCAAAGGTGTATTTGTTTGCCGTTCTCAATTAGCATTTAGACGCAATGAAAGAGAACTATTGTTGAACATTAATAGAAGTTTTTTTCCTATAATTCGTCTGCTAAACAGTTTTTCATTTGTATTGAATTAAATTGTGCAAGCCCTAAATGAGACAATAAAAACTAAACAAGCGCTCGAGCTACTAGAGCTGGGATTTCCTATTTCCACTCTTCTTCTCCTTAACCGTCCGACGCTCGAAACAAATGGGACAATTTGTTTTTACGCGATTATATAATTCTACCTTGTTTACTTTCATTTTAACGCATTTTTTCTAGTGAATAATACATTCAGAAACAAGGAAATATAACATTAATGCGAGTATCTACAACAATTTGAACGTTACTTAATATGTGATTTATGGTGGTGGTGATGAATATGCATACAGCGAGGTTTTTAGTGCGATAGAGTCCATTATTTCCGATGGTGTTGAACTTTCGAAAAATAGTTTCAGATAAAAGTTGTTGACGCACAAAGTGCGCACATTTTAAAAATATCTTATGTGATATCTTATGATTTTTTCCATATTGTGGTCCCAAAACCTTTATATTTGCATATTAGGAGGCTTCTTAGGTCGCAAACAAGCCAATGAGCTCAAAAAACACAGAAATAAAATTTTGATTATTTTTGATCTAAAAATTCATAAGTGGGGAATCATAAGTGGGGTTGATTTTTTCGGAAAATATCAAATCTCTCCAACTTTCTCGAATTTTATATCCTTTTCAAGGGAACGATGCCAGGAATGCTAAAAGATCCTTAAAAGGCACACTGCAGTGTTCTTATTGGAAATAATCAAGATTTTCTGATCATTTGAGTCATTTTTGAACGGTCACGACCTTCAATCGAGGATTTTTTTCTTTTTGTGACCCTGAAAACTTTCTGTTTGCAAATTAGGAAGCTTCTTAGGTCCCGAACGATCCAACGAGTGCAGAAAACACGGTAGTGAAATTTTAACTTTTGATCGAAAATTTCATAAGGGGAGAATTCATCAAATCTTTCATAATTTCTCTAATTTTATCAACAACTTTTATATGCACAACTTTTATATGAAACTATTTTTCGAAAGTTTAACACCAACGGAAATCATGGACTCTATCGCACTAAAAAACTACCCTGTATACATACTTGTTTGTCGAATGTTATTCCATTTTTCGGGGCTGAAAGTTCAAAAATTCTATATTTTATTACGTGTTATTTTAAATCAATTTGTCATTGAAGTAAATTGTTGCTGAAATAAATGTATGTCGGCGTTGAAATCAATATTTCTATTCAATAATTTTTTTCTAAGAAGTCTACGACAACATTATTGCCGTATTAAGCAACAAAATAGAGCAAAAGATCAAAGGAAAGCAAAGCAGGAAAAGGAAGAATTTAAATTTTTCTCAAATTCAGGCACTATAAACATTACAAGTTATAAATGAGAGCAAGATGAACTATCTATACAAGTGATTTGAAAAAACAAATTATATGCATCATTTTTAGCTTTAAAATAAATCATAAAACTGTTAAGTGATTGTTTGGATTTTAACCTTGAAGAAGCTGTAGTTTACGCCTACAGAGAAAATAAAAACATCTGAATCAACTGATTTTAGTCTTACGAGAAATATCTTCTGTTGTAGGTACTGTTTGTTATAACATTCATATACACTGGGTCTCACATCAGGCCGCAGAAGAAAGCTTTTCATGGCGAAATAGTTAGGAATTAAAGCGATTTGCTCAGGATTCTCTAATGAAACGCAGTCTGTTGTAAACGAAAGAAAATGTTTATTTGAAAGCAACTGATAGAGAACAAAATGCTATTTTTAGCGAACGCAAAATTGGGACTTTCCAATTAATTTTCCGTAACTATGTTCCAAACTATGTAAAGGTTTCCCGACAAATCTTAAAAGCGATTTGTGACATTCATTAAAAAATAAAGTGAAGATGAAAAGTTGCTATCCAACGCGATCTGTCTACAAGCGTAAAATAACTGTCCATATGAATGGAATTTATATGAATATACGATTGATTTAATGGCAGTAACAGGACCCAAAAAGCGATATTCATTTAGAGTTACTGCTATTGTGAAGCTGAAATCGTTTGAATAGTTTTTAGCGTTTTTGTTTGCCACATGTCCATTAAAATCAATTTTTGTTTCAGATGGTTTAGAGCAAAAGTCCAGAGTTAAACGCCCACGGGCGCCTCCTCCTCCTGATCCGGAAAATGATGTTGATGGCGATTTTGATGAAAGAAACAATGATCTGAGCACAAATTTCGTACCTGCCGGATTCCTAAGCCCTTCAGTGCTGGAATATTTAGAATTGGGCAAATCCATTCCAGGTAATTTACCCGGTGGTAAAGATATTCGGCAATATTGCATCATTACCTTAAAAGCATTTACGGGACATTAACTTTTACACGACCTTAGCCAATAAATTAATAATTGTAGAGAGGAAAAATAATTAACCTTAATGACGATTTTTAACAACGTCTTGGCCAACCTTGCCCCATATCAAAGTCGAGCAGTCTTCCAACTACATACAAAGACAGTTTAACAATCAATAGCAAAGGACTGTCTTGTTTATAATAATTTAACCGTATTCGTATATGCTAATTTCTGGCGTTAATTGCGAATAAAAACAACTATCATAGTTGATGGTCAACGCTGATAGATAATCAATCTGCAGTTATTTAATTAGATCCGTAGTAATGGTGTGCAAGGACTTCTATCGTCTAGTGTTATTGTCACGATATTAATCTGCAACTCATATCTTATCAATGGCTTAGTGTTAGCTGTTAGGCTCCGCTGAAATTATGTTTTCAACTTTCTTACATTCATTCAAACATGTTCTGTATCGTAAAGCGTATGCCATTGTAATGCAGGAGAATGAGTAATAGAAATATTTAACCAACAGACAAGGTATTTCTAGCCAGATTTGATTGATGGTTACATTTTACATCAAGCATATCTACAAAGAAGATATTTGCTTAATGAAAGCTATATATAACATTTGAACAATCTGCTTGATTTTTCTTGAAAATGAGGTTTGATAGACCGATAAACATGTTGGGTGTTATCTACCAGAAACAACACGAGGAAACAGGGGAGAAAATTTAATTTCAACAATAAATTTAAAAAGCTATACAACATGAAAAGAAAATAATTCAGACGCAAGCAACAAAAAAAAAATATACACATATTTTCGAAACTGCAACCTCCAGGCGAAGAGCAAATGTGAATGATATGATCAAATAGGCAAAAAACTATAAAATAGTATTGAGCGAATGAAAAAAAATATATGAACAAGAAAGTAACCATTCTGATAAAAATAAAATAATAAGGATAAGATTCGGCCTATCAGTTCGATGAAAGAAAGTAGCACTAATGAAAGCAAATCAAATAATTAATTATGCTACTAAATGCATAGAACACCAAAGAGTAGACAAATGCGAAAAAACAACAACGACAACGGAGAACGAATAATTAATTAAACTTATGCAAAACTATAAACTAAAGTATAAGACTRRTGACTTTTCCAACGCGAGAATACCTGAAAATTTCYATAACTCAAACAAGCAAAATGTTTTAATCACCTATATAATAATGCATCCAAAAAATTGAAAATATCATTTTCGGTGAAAAGTTATGAAATAAATTTTATTAGAATACTCGCCTCCTTCGACCCATTGTAGAAAGTTTCGAAATCCCTTTCCAGCTTCGAATTTCGGACAATAATCAAATCATTTTCTATCAAAAAATGAACAAAATCAACGAAAGTTTCTAATAAATTATTTGGAAAACTCGTCACCTCCATTCTTTTGAAGTCTGTATAGTTTGTTAAAAAATGTGGTTTTTTGTTTTGACTGAATTTTTTTTGCTTTACTTTCCATTCAAAAACGCTCTATTTTGTAGAGTTTCACTTAAAAATACCGGCGCGATCTGAGGTCTTTTACGCGAAAATTTACAAGATAAATCTAAATCTTTGTAGGAATTTTACAAAAACTTTTTTCAGCGTGGAAATCGGGACAAAAGCGAAAATAAATTTCTCCCGTTTTTTGCCGAAAATCATTAATATTTTCTCAAAAATCGATCACAAAACTAAAAGTTTTTAAGCACAAAAGCCAACAATGAGGTTGGGGTAAAACCCAATAGTTTTTAATCGAAAACGCAAAAAAAAACATTATTTTCTGATGATTTTCTTCTTTTCTAACAATGGGGTATTTGGAGCCAAAAATGAGAAAACTGATTCGGCTAGAAAAGTCGCCTCATTCATCGGTTTGCAGGGAACTTTAGGAAACCCTTCTCAGCTTCGAATTTGGCACAAATTGGCCAAATAATTTTATTCAGTTTTTTACCGAAGGTAATTAGGACTATCTTGAGCAATCGACCAGAGAGCAAAAGTTCTGAAAACTAGTATTTCACAAATTCGCCGCCCTAATCGCTCTCAAGATTTTTAGTCGCAAGTCGCATCGACAAAACCCTAATAATTATTTCTGGGTTATTTTCCAAACATATTTCCCGGAACTGAAAAACCGAAAGTTTATAATCATTGATTTGGGAAACTCTTGGAAACTGGAGTTTCTTCACTTTGATGTCAATATTTCTAAACAACGCTGTCTAAACAGAAAAACCGCGTTTTTCGTAACGTTTTACTGTAAAATACCGGCAAACAAAATTTTATGCACCAAAATTAAGAGATCGATTTTACAAGAAAACTTGTCGACTTTCTTTGGACTCGTAGTTCGGTTGCTGGAAAAATATAGGTAACTTTTTTTAGTTGTTTGAACAAAGTAGTAAAACGTTACTCAAAAACAAAAAAATGTTGATAACCGTATTTTTAGATGTGAAAATTAGAGTCTCGGGTCTCGTAAAGCTTTAATAAATAACTGATAACTCATTAACCGATAAGTTATAACTCGTTAACTCAATAGCGCAACTCAACACAGCGTTGTCCAGGCCTAGGCTATGTCATCAATACGGACTGCGCCCGAGGAAGCGCATCAGAGTAGTGTAAGCGTTCAAGCAAACCGCCTCTGAAGATGCAAGCCACTCGTGCTTGCGAAACGTCAGGACAAAATTTCATTTTTCAACGGCTTAAAACCCCGCAAAACCTATTAGTTTCAAGGAATTGCCTCGAAAGTGTATCTCTTTTGACAAAATATATCAGAGTTTTCAAGAACAACAATGAACAATCTTAAAAACGGATCAACAATAACATCCATGAATAATTTTACCACGAAAAGAAACAACAGCTTCGATGGCAAAATGGAGTGAAGAATAATTAATGAGAGCCTCTATAGTCTAGAACTAGCATCTTTTACGTGACAAGAAGTGCGAGGTTCAAAATCGTTACAAAGAGCATCTGCTTAAACGGATCTCTGGTCTAGTGAATGAACGAAAAACTGAAAGAATCTAAAAGCTGGATCGAGTACGCAAGAACAAATATAGGAAAATACAATATTATAAGACACAATTATTCAGATAATCTAGGCGAAACAAGCATGTAAAATATATTTTACTTCGTTTAGGTCGACCAGGCACAGATTATCCAGTCTTAGGAATGGTACCTTATACCAACTTTTACTGTGATGAGCAACAATATCCTGGCTTCTATGCGGACCCGGAAACTCGGTGCCAAAGTTGGCACTATTGCGATATTGATGGTAGGCAGACGAGCTTTTTGTGCCCGAATGGTACCCAGTTTAGTCAGCTGGTGTTCGTGTGCGATTGGTGGTTTAATGTGAGATGCGAATTAAGTGAAAAGTAAGTAAAAACTGTGCTGCGAACGTATTTTCCAATGTTATATTATTAGTTAGTTGAGCCTATTAATAATTGAAACTGATTGCCTGATTGAAGAGAACTGAGGAAGTAGAAAATATATAATTGTTTTTCGATTAATCATCAAGAGAAATCCAATTTTAAATTCGACTTAGTTCCAGTGAAAGCTTTAGTTATTATAAATTGCTGGCAACATTTATGTTGAATGTGAACTAAATATGGAAAAAATATCCTTGAATGTACAGCGATTTTGTATTCAATGTAGAAAGCTCACGCGTCATCATGATCATGATCAAGAGTTGTTGTCGAATCATATCCTGAGCTAAAATATCGAAAAAAAATGATTCCGGTTATTAGATCACGCAAATACGTCATACTATTACACTATGTAAATCATGATGTATAAATCAAAATTTATCGATTCTATACAATTGAATTCCCGCAATAAAAATTCAAGTTGTTAAAGTATTCTTCTAGATTGTGCATTGTTTGATTTTTTACCCCATTCACTGCTAAAACGATTCTAACGAGCGTTAATTTTCTTTTAAGCCTTGACTACATTGTAATGCCTGCTATTTACCATTAATAATAACAGTTATTATTGATAATACAAAAATAATCAGAAATGTTTTCCTGTAGGTTGTATGTGATCAACAGCAGACTCTATGGAAGACCAAAATTGGATCCAGCCAAGCCTCATAGAAGCATTACAAAACAGTTGCTAGAAGATATTTTTAATGACGAAGAAAGACGCTAAATATCAAATGTAGATAGAGATTTTGAGAGATGCGAATTGTTTGTATTACTTTTCAAATTTGTTTCGTTGATAATTCCTGTAAATATTCTTATTGCAACCGATTCCGATCCGAGTTCGAATAGTTAGGAACGTTTTTTGTGTTTTTCAGTTTACGTAGATTAAGTTCTTCTCGAATTAATGCATTAAGAATAAGCGTTAATTCATTCAAAGAGATTATATATTATATTTAGTTTTAATTATGTTTATAAGTGGCGAAATAATCTAGTTTTTATAAACACTAGACTTACTTGGACACTAGATATACCTACTCACTTACTTATTTTGTTAAGTAAATTGTCCAGTTGCTTCACTTAATTTTATAAGTTACGCGTATTTTTTTTATAATTATTATACAAATGTTTTCAACTTTGATTTATCAATTTTTCGATTTTGTTCTTTTAGATTAGTTTCCATTTAGTGCGATACATATAATTTCAATGAAATATTGTTTATATCTACCATTTGGAAGTGAGCTTCTGCATGCCATCTTATTATAAGAATAGTTAGCTGTTAGTGAACATCACAATACGCAAATGGAAGATTTTTCCTGCATTTAAGAAACGTAATTAATAAGGCCACAAATCCGGCGTGGGTTGTAAAAGTAACTATTTTCAACATTATTACAAACAGGGGTAGTTTGTAGTTTGTGGATTGTAGAAGTTGCTTTTTAGTGTTGATATATCAAAGATTTGTTATAAGTGTGTTTTATTGTTTTATTGTGTCGTTTTACAGGCATTTACGGTTAGACCTGCTTCTATTACTATTACAAGGGCGAAAGGGTTTGAAAAATCCGTGCAAAAATGAAAACAACTTAATTTTTTAGGATAAATCGTTTTTATTTTTCAGCATAATTTTAATTAATATTTTGTTATTGAGCATTTAATAGCTTTTTCATGCCCAAATGTTGGTGCAAAATATTATGTACCCGTTAATTCGAGATGCCTACAGCACTGGCAATTTCCAACACCTTCTAACTCTTCTGTTCTACACTCTTCTAACGTCTGTTAGCTTAATTGCTATCAATCCGTCACCATATCATGGATTGTATCAATGATTTCTGGAGCAGTAGTGGAAAAAGGTCGTCCAGAACGTTCAGCGTAACTTCAGAAATAGGCAAGTGCAGATTTCCTAATGCACCAACCTCAGGCACCCCTAGGACCGGTTTCGAGTCTATTAGCTCTCATCAGCTGGGTTCAGTCTAAAATTAGCGATTCCGAAACCTGCACTTTACAATCCAAATGTATTCACATCGGCGTAAAACTTCACTTATAAACTGTTCTAATTGAAGGTTCAGAATCACCGTAATGTTTATCGAACAGCTCTTTAGTCTCTTAAAGCGATATGCCTTTCATAAAGAAATGTTTAATCAGCACGCGAATTTCTTTCTAGTCCAGTTTTTAAAAATCTTTCGATTCATCCTTTCAAACGAACGTTAAACAGAAAGAAATAAACCGACCTGGCTGAAACTTGGTGTGCGTTCTTCCAAGAGATGCTACTAACTGAAATTAACTTTGGTTATTTTCCACTGGTGCCCTCTCTCTGACTTTGCACGGACTCTTCAAACCACCCTCATATTTAAAACCATTTAATTCCTGCCCAGCAAACACAAATGGTCCGTGAAACGTTCTATTTTGATCCCCGTTGTCCCGCATGGGATCATCCTTGGTAGGATGTCCCTACGACGTCTCTCGTATTGCACAAACATATCATGCAGATCCCATGCGAGTCGTCCCAGAAACGTTATATTTTTTGCTCCCATGGAAGTAATGAACAGGACGTATATGTAGTAATAGTGAATAGCACGCTCGAAAAAAAGTTATAAGTATGTACGGTAAGTAGATAATTTATATTTTTATCACTTTTATGTATGATCTTCGTTAATATGTATAGAGTATGCTATACTTTCCATGCTTTCGAACGTAAAGCCATGCCTAAAGCGCCTAAAAATTGAGCAAAATCTTTATATCACCGTTAAATAAATGAAAGAACAAGTACATTATTAAATAATTTACAATGTTCTAATGAGGCCCAGCATTCTAATGAGGGCCTTAAGAATCTAATTTTGCCTGACCCTCGATGTGATCCGAATAGACTTAGTCAACAAGTTCTAACCTTGGTGGCGAGGCCTGAAGTAGAAGTTGCTGAAGAACCTTTAGTTGGATTTTTAAATGATAAAATATATCTCTTTTTCATTACAGATGGTTTGCTAAAAAATCCACCATTTATATCAACAAGAAAAGACATTGAAATTGAAGCTCAAAATTGGCTCAGGTGCGCGCCGGAAAGACTGTAAAGGAAAAAACTAACTTTACCGGTTTCAGACAGAAGAGCATAGCAAAAATAAGTTTAGTTTGATACCATACATAAACGTTTTTTGTTTTTTTTTTTAAATATAGGTAGATTTATGTTATTGGTTCAGTATCTTGTTTCTTTCAAATTGCTTCCACCCAAAATTTTCCAAATTATAAAGCTGCCTTCAAAGTTTTTTCGTAGTTTATACTTACTATACTACAGATATACTCTAAACAACCCGTCCCAGTAATGTTCTAAATGACTTTTACAGGATCATCCCATACATGTCCGAACAGTCCCAAAAATATGTCTCATGGACGTCCTGCGTAAATATGGGGACGTACCGGGACGTCCGAGGGACTTAGGCCTATATCCTGTAGTGACTTCCGTGGGACGTCTTAGAGACCGAGGTGTGTTTGCTGAGTGCAAATATATAATTCAAGGTGTATTAATATTAATATTAAGAAACAACATTATATTTTATTTGGTCGATTTTGGACATCCGCGATCATTTAGTTTCTGACAAAGTTCACACATTTTAAATGTTGACTTGATTGTTTAGGCTACATATTTAATTTGTTGCTTGATTTCAACATTTCAAATGTTAAGACTTGACAAAGAAAATTAAATTTGTTTAATATCAGTATTTATGACGTTTTAAATTTTTTTTCCAGAATACTTTTATTTTTGGTCAATCCTGACCGAACACAAATCCGTAAAATAGCCGCAGGTGCACTTAATGACAACGGAGAATGAAAACCAATTAATTTTGAGAGAACGAGATCTAAAGAACAGATGGATCGGATATATACAGGCTGAATGAAAATTGGCGTCATTCCTTTTAAGGATATATAGGGGCCCACTTAGAGAGTAACATTTAACAGGCGGTTTTGGATGACAGTTGTGACCTATTTATTTATATCACTCATTTGCCTCCGAAAGATGGCAGCACTCGGGGGCTGTTTTGTCGCAGCACTGACCGCAAGGTGACACCGTTATTCTAACCTCAACGGATGTTATTGTCTCTTTTATTTTATTTGCTTCATGTTTATCCATGGTTACCGGAGTTTTTAATAAGTACGAAGTAACAGGTATTTACGTAATGTTAATTAGGCAGATTGCCTTGAAAAACATTGTTGCCATCCTTCTGATCTATTTTTTTGCAAATATCTGAGTTTTCAATAACATTTAATTTATTTTACTATTTTTTCTGTACTCCCAAGACACCCCCAGAGCAATGACGCCAATTCTGAATCACCCTGTAAATACTATTTTCCAGTTTCGTCAAAATTGATGAAGTCTTCACATTTCAATGAGTGTTTAACACGAACTAAATGATGTGAATGAATGACTCAAATTTTCACAGCAGTCTACTAACAGACGACAGTTGACAGGGGTGGTGTTGAACTTAAAGTTACTGCACGGGAAATTCAAAACATCACTGACTAATCAAACGACTCTTGTAAGAAGAATAATATAGAAACACACTAGGAATAATAACATAATGAGCCGATCTTGAATATTCCAGATCATAAGCGCTCATTTCAGGAATCCAGTTTGCATTTAATTACCGCAGTTTTCCACACATAATTGTATTATTTTATGGGCATTTCAATATGTTTCGGTTATTTGTGAGGTTGGTGCAAGTGTACGCCTCTGGAGTCCCTGAAACGCATCTCATCAACAACTCGTAAAATAAACTGCAATCCACAACAAAAAGAGCGTAGCGAATTACGAAAATTGAGAAAGTTGGAAAATACACGGAAAGTGCATCTCCAAGTGCGATTTTCCGAATGATCGCGCCCACAATTTTCCTATGCCGGTTGCGTTTCCATTAATTTGGTTTGGGATGATACTTATGCGCCTAATTTCCCTCGAGTAGCCGAGTTTGATACAACCGGAATTCCGAGTTTTGCATTAGAGATTAGTTTATTATTGTTAGGTTGCCATTCTGATGAAATTTCCACCGAAGAAGATTTTACGTCACCTGTGGATTGCACTCGGCTTTATCGGCATATTGAGAAGCTTACCGGGAATGTAATCATTGAAAGTGGATTTGTTATGCGGTTCCATGTCGCTTATATCAATTATTGGGTGAGTCAGTGAAGCCACATCCTTCCTTAGATCGTAAACAACAAAGAAGTCCGAAAAGAAAAGTCCCTTTCCTTTCTTTTTACTTAAAAAAAATGTTTTTAATATTTTGCTTCTTAAATCAGAATTGTGGTCCACTTTGAATAAAAACTCATTTTCAAACAAATTCCTATTTTTATTTTTGATGCAGCGTTTATGCGGATATTTTATAGAATGAGCATCTTTAGATCTTCAGCTGAAATTAAGATTAATGGCGACTGATATTGAACCAACTTGGGAACTTTCCAACAACGTTGCAATTACGTCAGCTCTTGATCATGACTGAGAATAAACTCCGTTATCGTCCCTTTCGATTTATACGAGCTTTTCCAGTTAGCCTGAATTGCGACAAAAATAGAAAATTTATGACTAATGTTTAAAATCCCCATATAAAAACTGACAATAAATCAACAAATTGCAACAGCAGTAAGTGTACATTTTATTATTTTATTATTGTCAGACGTTGTTGTGTCTAAAACTATGGAATTACATTTAAATATAAAGAAACTGCACTTATCTTGAGCCAGTCTGGATGATTAGATATCCGAATGCAATACTTTACAAACTACAACAGAATAATATGAACGTTTCGTTCCAGACCCCATACCTGCATACGCTCTAAGGGAAATCACCTTTTTCAATACACAAACTAATCCATATTGCCTTTACTTTTATCAAATTAGACTTATCTAGGCTTTAACTACAGATTTAACGATATGAAGAATTTGCCAATTCGGTTCAAAGCAAATTTTCCTGATGTTTTCAACACAATCGTTTCTAGAGTTAAAGCTGCACAGTTTCAACACCAACATTTCTAAATGTTCTTGTGATCTTGTTTTAGTTTCAAGTACTAGGGATGGTCGGTATTTGTAACGTGTAACCTGAAACCGTAGTTACAGCTAGCCGATTTAACCGTTTTTTTTAGAACCGTCTCATAAAACAGAAACAGTTATGCGCACCAGCTACAGCCGTTTGCCGACTAAAAGGTTTTTTTTGGAACAGTAGCATAAACTTGAAAAACTGGTTCGCGTCCGTCACAGAACCAATGCGGCATCGTCGAGCGCTCTCAACTTTTATCATCACTATTTCTACTATCATCATCATTCTGCATTTTTAATAAAAAATTTAAAAAGTAACACGTTCCTTTTGTAACCGCATTTTGAAACCTATTACCAAGGTAAAACTGAAACGTTGTAATCCGTTACAGAAAAATAACCGTTTAGCACACCTCAATCAAGTCACAGAGCCGGTGGTTTGGAGTCTATCTCACCACCTGGGTTT